GCACAGAAACAAGAAAATAAAGTTCGCAAGACTGAAGAGAGAGAGAGAGACGCGTATAAATCTGGAAGATTTGGGCAAGATAATCGAGCATCATGATCTACAAGGCATGGAGATTCAGTTTCCAAAGTTGAGCGAGAAGATCAAGTAAATTTGGAAACTCCAGATTTCTGATGAACCTGCATACCGTATATAATTGTATATATATTAGTTTCACGAGCTCTGATAGAAGATGAGCCATTCCATTATTCTTTGAGAGAGTTTAGAGTTTTATTCATTGAGAGCTCGTGAGTTTTTTTTATTATATTTTATAGAGTGATCGGATTTCAGTGTGAAGGTTCATTGCTGGTAATTCGACCTGTCAGTCTCTGTTTTAGTTTCTACTTGGTGCTTGGGACGAGCATCTTTATTCTGCTTGGAGGGATCCATACATACAGCGTAAGTCCACGCTGTGGCCAGAAAAGTAGTTAGCTAGGTGGAGTACAAAGTAGGTTAGCTTAGAGGGAGTCTATGCGTGTAAATCCTATTTGTACTTGTTGGCCAAACACTTGCTTAATGAAAGAGTTCTGAGGGAGAGTGGGACGTTCTCCTGAAAGTTCGTTTTTATTTATTCGCTTCCGCAAATTTTACATGAACGTTCATTGTTTTTAGTATCAGCGCGAGTTTGTATACTCTCCCGAAATTTCACTAAGAATATCCCAAATAAATAAAATATGCAAGAAATAAGACATCAAGATTTAACGTGGAAAAACCTCCAATGTAGAGGAAAAAATCACGGGACAACCTCCCAACAATTCCACTATATTTTAAAGATAATTACAATATCTTTTCACACTCCCTTACACTAGAAATGTAGAATATAGTGACCCAGTGAGACCGCACTCCTAAACAAGAAGTAATAAAGTTGATACCCAATCCAGTGTATTTTTTCAACACTCACAGGATTTACTCAAATACTCTATTTTTATCTCATTGAAAAATTAACACTCCAGAAACTGATATTGTTTCTGCTATTTTCTTTCTCGCTTTGGTGCATTTCTTCTGTTGAAAGACCACTCTATTTATAAGAGGTGTAAGTGCATGTGAACGGACTATGTTGTTGGCCTTCCTTTCTTTCCTTTCAATAATTGTTTGGTGCACCTGTTACCAAATTTTTTATTATTTTTTTATTTATTTATTTTATTTGTAAGCTTGTGGTTGTACACCACATGAAATTTTGGCTTCTTGTGGCTGGATTCTGACATTCCTGGCATCCATCTCCTTGGTTACATCTCTCATTGACTGCTCATCTTGAAAGGTCAAAAATCTGAAATCACTCAGGTGAAAAAGGTAAGGTTTGAGAGGATGAAATCAGGCAACAAATAGAACAAATTTTGTTGTCGCGACCTCCCTTTCTCTGCTAAAACCTAGCCACAAACAGCAA